GCATATAACTAATATAAACATTAAGCAGTAGAAAAATTAATTTCTCAATTCCATAAAATTAAATAAGTGAGTGGTAACAGATATTAAAATAAAAGATTTTCTAAAAAAGAAACATTTCTAAAATAATTGAATTCATTTGTGAATAAGTCCTGAAAGATTCATTAAAATCTGACAATTATATTTTTTACAAGAATTTCCAAATCAGTGTTTTTCACTGGATAAAAGATGCTAAAATTTCATATACTAATCTTTGGTGTGTCCCCACCTCCTCAACAATGTAAGAAAAACAAGATTTTTAACCAAAATTTTGAATATTCAAAAAAGGATAAAAAAATTCAATTTAATAATAAAAAATCCTTTGGTCATTCCTCTTAATAATAATGAAGATTTTGATGAGAAAACTTTGTTTTTATTAAGTTTAGGACATTTTTTTTTCATTATTTATGCTCATTTCTTAGTGAATCTGTGGATGTACCCATTTTAAAATGCCACTTCCTGTGGTGAAATATATAAAATGACAAAGATTTAATAAAGTGAAACATGTTAGATTAAGATCTTTTTGCTACTTGTTCTTTATCCTATCATAGATATATGTGTTTGGCTAAGGGATTAGAATGCTTGCTTTCTAACCATAAGACCCAGGTTTGAATCTCACCATGGTCAATTTGTTAGTGAGGTGAGCTTGATAATATACACCTGGGGAGGAGTTCCCAGTGTGTGGCACTTTTGGAAAATATCTGAGAACCACAACACAGGTTAACTCAAACCTTGTGAATGAAATTGGGTAGACAAAACTGCCTGGAAGCTGTTGATGGTTGTGCTAGCATGAAGCCGCAAGTCATCATGACCAATGGGTTGAGCTTGCTGGTCTTCTTCAAAAAAATTGACCACGCCTGATTATGTGGTCTCTCCCACTAAGTGTAACTAAGGTCTGCTCAGTATAGTTGCAGTATAATCTACAAGTTAACTCTCTGGGTTGAGCAGGTGCCTGTAATAAGGATTTACTAGCCACCCTGGAAGACAGGGGTGCTCAGAAATGAGTAGCTAACCATACTCCATAAACACAATCAAACATAATTAATACCCTAAAAATAAAGAAAGGAATACTTTACTATTTAAGCACTAGTTTATATATTAATAACAAAGCACAGACACAAGTGTGCATGTCTTTGTGTACACATGTTTGTATACATATATGTGTATGCACATGTGGATATCTATATATGTATATGCATGTCTGTATGTGTGTGCATAAATGTATGAATACAGGCATATGCATACAAATTCAAACAACAAGAAATAAAAATTTGTCTATATTTCTGAGATGAGGTATCATGTACATTATTTACATTATTCGGACTATTGTCCTCATCTTTGTCGCCATATTTATCACAACGTTTCGGCCATTGTACGCTCCGGCCTTCTTCAGGTGGTTGGAATGTCAAACTGAACCCTTTATTTCGCTCACCGGGGTAGACTGTTCTAGTTCCACGTGCCATGTTTGATGGATGTCAGTTATCAAGGACATATGGCACAGTGGATAAAGGCGTTGGTTAGATCCAGTGACAGGACCCAAAGAGTGTGAGTTCAATACCCGGTTAAGGCAGTGGAGAACTTTCAGAGGGAAATTAACAGGAGATAACTGATAACAAAGATGAGGACAATAGTCTGACTGAATAATGTAAATAATAAAAATTTATTTATGAACATAATCTCCTACAATTAATACCCTAATAGTACTTATGAAGACATGTATAAATATTTACTATATCATTTATTTAAGCCTTAAAATGAATTATTCAAGTAAAAAATGAAATACAATTTTCCTAACTCAAGGAAAGACTGAAGTGCTCGAAAATTAGTCTCTGTAGAAAAAACCTGAGGGCAAATGGCAATAATTGAAAGAAAAAAAAAAAAAAAAAAAAAAAGAGAGAAAAGGTTAAGAAGTGAGTGTAAATTGGAGAAACCGTTTACTTGTATTAATTATATATATATATATATATATATATATATATATATATATATATATATATAGAGAGAGAGAGATATGTTTGCATAACTTTTATTTTGACATGTTTTGTTGATCAGTCAGTATCATCACAAAAACTGATTTTATTTTAACAAAATCTATATGAGGCAAAATGTTCTGTTTTGTCAATGTAGATTTTGTTGAAATATTTAATATATATATATATATATATATATGTGTATATGTGTGTGTAAATATTCTCAGATAGAGTGCATCTGTAGAGGAGATAAAATGAATAAAAAGAGAAGAAGAAAAACTATTCTTAGCTGACACGTTTCTTCCTCTGAGAGATTTTATCAAGGCAATGTAGGATTTGTTTTGCTGCATGTGTTTATATACAAAAATCGAGGTTGTCATTGGTTTATCAAAGCTTTTAAATTTAATAAACCAATGACATTCTCACTTTGTATATATAAGCACATGCAGCAAAATAAATCCCACACTGCCCTGATGGACGAAATGCATCAGTTAAGAATAGTTTTTCCTCTTTTTATTTTTATATATATATATATATATATATATATATATATATATATATATATTTCTAGCTTGAAATATTTGTCATAGGTCAGTATTTTAGCAACTGTTATATTATGAGCACTATCAAATGGCATTTTCTGTATGTGTTCATGAAGGTTAATTTCCAATTGATATAAAATCTACTACAGTAAACTGATCCATTAAATCCACTGTGCATGTATCATAATAGCAGTTATATTGTTTCACTATAGTTAGTTGAACAAGAACACACTTACGCCTTCTTCATGCTTGATAGATTTTACACTGGAACATTGCATTATAAATTAGTATCGCTTAGGATTATTTAGTTTAAAAGTTTACAGTCATTTTAAAAATATTTTAAAGGAAAAGATTTCAGATTTTATTAAAATTTGAAATATTATTTTATATTGTCAGAATAATTATTCAAATGCAGGAAAGGTTTTTAAATTGTAAAACATCTTCCAGATAGAGTATTAAAATTTCATGGCAAACATTTTCCATAATGAGTGAATGAGAGGTAAACAAGGAATCATATCTTTGTAACAAAACTCATCTAAATCAAAGTTTGATTTTCTCATTTATCTCTACATATATTTAAAATTACTGCTCAAATATACTTTGCTTAAACTATTAGTATTCAACTACATGAACAAGCAGATACAAAAGAAAGCCCAAGAACATCTACTGTAAGAGCTGTTAAGTTTTCTACTCTTATTTCTAGAAACAAACACACACATATATAATTTATTTTAGAATATTAAAACATGTCAAAAATCACTACACAATTATGTTTCAACACCATAAATGTGTCTCTTCAGGTGATGTTAAAGTACTAGTTTAACATCACCTGAAGATACACATTTATGGTGTTGAAACATAATAGTAATTGTGTAGCGATTTTTAACATGTTTTAATATCTTAAAATAAATAATATTTATCTCTACTATATATTGAGCTCTCTTTTAAATTAGATGTTACATATGGTGGAATCATACTCTGTTTGTTTTCATTTTACCTGTATATATATATATATATATATATATATATATAAGGTCTAATCAAAAAGTGTCAGGACTCTTGCTGGTGTAACAGAGCTAAAGTACATTGTGTGAAGCCACTTAGCAAAGATTGTCTGTGAACTCTGTTGCACCTACACACTAGGAATATTCTTGCTCACTTTCATTGTTTATAGCAGTGCTTGGAACGAAAGTGTGCAGAGTGTGGTCATCTCACTACACCACAAAGTTTCCATCAGTAACCATGGCTTGTGAAGCAGTTTTTGAACAAGTACAACATTCCCCTGATCTGGCAATCACCATATTTCCCAGATCTTGCTTCTTGTGACTTTTTTCCCTTCAAAAATCGAATCCCACTTGAAAGGAACAAGATTTTAAAACATCAAGGAAATCTAAGAGAATGCAACAAGGCAGCTGCTTGCTATACTAAAAAAGGAGTTCCAGAAATGCTACCATTCCTGTAAACTCAGTAAATATAACATTTAGTAATAAGAAATAATGTTGGATTAAAAAAATCCATTAATTGCTTAAAAATAAGGTATTTTCCAAAATTTTTAAAAATAAATTCTTTTTAATCTATTATTATATATATGATAAAAATATAGTTTAAAAGGTAGTATGCTATATTTATGAGTTAAAGTGCTCAATATCGGGGATAGAACATATCCCATGAAACACAGTAACTAGAATTACAAAAATGTGGTTATTATACTAAATAATTAAAAGAATAATGGCACTTCAACCAGATTTGCTTTAAGTAGAGATTCAGTAATTTTGTGCTTTAAATTTTCAGGGTATTAAATTGTAGATAATTTTCAAAGACTTCTGATATAACCTTTCATTTTTCATTTGTCGACCTCAGTATATTACCAGCATATATGGTAGATAAATCCACAAACTATAATTTTCACTTTGATTAACTCTGGTAAATTTGAGAAAGCATATCTGCTCAGATATTGACAATATTTTCTTTATTATGTGTCAATTTAAATGTTGTCTTTTCTTAAGTATTTCAAATGGAAAATATGTATAAATTACCAATATCGTATATTTAAGCAGCAGTCCTTCTTTTATACAGGTTTCATTGAATGTTACAGACAAGGAAAATTTTGTAAATTTTTTTTATTTTTCTAGTGTCCTTATAGTTTTTCTTTTATTTATCTATTTTTTTTTAATCTATTCACCCCAAGCAAGGCGATAATGCCACTAAGACAAGGAGCTATTTAGAATGAAAGAGAATGAAAAGACTTTAGAAGGAACCAAAAATCCAATCTTAAATAAAGAATAAGACCAAGGAGGAATGTGAACTGGACGATAGGCGAACATATGATGACTAAGAGTATGTACAAAATGTCCATAGTAATTATTGTATGTTACATTCAATGAAACATGTATAAAATTACTAATATTTAAATAACAAATGTTATCCTTTCTTTGTTTCTTCTATACAGAAGATGCAGCCAGAAGACAACAGGGAAGCAGCGAAAGAGGAGAGTAAGCCATTGGTGGATGACAAAGACGATAGCAGCAATCAAGAAGCATACAGTGATTGTAAGATACTTTCTTTTCTGGGTCCTAATTAAAACACCTCTTTCTGTTTCTCAAATTCCATATAGCAAAACAGATTAAGAATGTACAAGATAGTACTGAAAAGTTATCAGTCCGACTAAGAAACCTTTCCAAAAATATTCTGATGTTTGGTCAGATTTTGGGAAGTGAGTCAACGAGCCCTTTATTCGTAGACATTAATCTTTTTTTTTCTCTCCACATTAAAGAAAATTCAGTGTTTTCGGGTGTTTCATGATTTTTGTGTAATTTCTGATGTAAGGGAGGCAACTCAGCTGAACTCTATTTTTAAGAAAACTACATCAAACGTTGCTTTTTAAAGCGAGAAGGAACAAAAAGTTGTGGAGAAACATGATCTCTCATGTCATGAAGCAACACGCCTCATAAAGAAATATAACATTAATTCAGGAAACAATGAGTTAAGTTGATTTATACTAATTAGTTAAAAGCATAGAAATTATAATTGTATAAGACAGATCAAGTTCAATATTTTACAAAAACAAAATCTGAAAATGCTTGAACATAATGAATATTAAACAATAATTTTGATAATTTTTGTAAATTTTATTGTGATTTTTATCTGCATGTGGCTGTCTTTGTTTAACAGAAGATGAAGAAAATATGTATGCCAGTAGACATAGTTTTAATAATAATTAAAATCAATTTACACTAACAGGAACATAAAATTAATAGGATAATTTGGTGAGTAAATCAATTCATATGTAAAAAAGTGGCAAAATAAAAATTACTTGGTCGATGATTCTCTGAATGGATGTCATTTTTTAATGTAGCTTCACAAACATAGATTTACTACTTGAAAAAATATGAATTTTGATATCAAGTCTTAATGGAAATTTTACAATTTCCTTGTAAAATTGTATTATAATCATTTTATAAATAAAATTTCAAGATAATTTAAAAGCTTTTAGTGCTGTTTTTTGAGTTGCCTTAAGAAAATGAAACATAGAATAATTTATGAAAAATATATTTGAGAAACCCAAGTTTTCTTTTTTCATTGAAATTATGCATTTCAGAAACTAATATCAAGATTTTTGTCAAAGAATTCCTGCAAGTTTTTAATTTAGCAAAACCAAATGTTATAAAATAGAAAAACATGCACTGAACTGTGGTATCCAGTATAATTTTTAATTGCTACAATTTATTTGTTTCAAACATTTCCATATAATAAAAAGTTACATTAGTATTAAATATTTCTTCTTCTGTGGAACACCCTTTTCTTGTAACAGCCTTTATTTTAATATCTTCAGAAATCATAGTTTCAAAGTTTGGTAAGTTATCAAATGTTTGGCATGACATTTCATCCAGCAAATATATTGAGTAACTTGGACCTGGATCAAAGTTGTATTCTTTAACATCAACATTCACTTGAAGCAACAATTTAGCATTTTTCAATATGAAATTTTTCAATAACATTTTGTACTGTTATAAAATGTCCACTGCCAGAGCCTTTTCTTAATTTTCCAAATTCATTTTTAAATAGGTTTTGACAAATTCACTAAGCATCACAAAATTGAATCCACTGCTTAAATATCTACAAACATCAATTAAACAATTGCATGTATTTTCAGTAGCTTTTCTGTGAAAAAAAACAACAACAAACAGACTGGATGAACTAATGATTGTCTGATTACAACACAGAATCTTGTTGATCAATATTGTGACACAAATTTTCAAATCTGATAATTTTGTCTTTTTCTAGAAATTGTACCAACTCATCACGTTTCACATAGAAGCAGAATTTTTATTTGTAATTCTTGATTTTGTTTGATGGTTAGATAATACACTTGATGGCAAATGATCAAAGACTCATGGTGAATTTTGAGGTGTTACTTTTCCTCTGTTTCATACCCGGACGGAAAATACATTTCACAGACAGTATTTGATATGTCAGGGGTATCTTCCTGAGGTATTGCCTTTAATATTTCTTGCTCATTCTGATCTTAGGGAAAATGAAATACATGAAACTTATTTCATTACTACAGAAACCCGTTAAACAGCATTTTTTCATCATTTTGAGAAAGATTTTGGTATACTGAAACTAAACTAACTGTTATTTCATGAACATTATGGGATAATTTTAAAAATTATAGAAACTTTAGATTGTAAGTTTTGAAGGATTTGGATTTAGGATTCAGAATTGAGAATTTAAGGTCTGTATGCATGTGGGAATTTTTCCTCTTTTAGAGACTAATGTGTGGACTAGAAAACTCCAGTATATGCAAATTTATGATTCAGACATGCAAAATTTTAGGGATCAGAAAATTAAATTGGGATAAGAAATGAATAGGAATTTAAAATCCATACTAACACAGATTAAAGCATCTTTAAAGTCATCTAAATTACATGTTGATTGCCTTGTATCTTAATAAAGTAGTCAGAAGGGTGGTGTTGTATGGAGAAGCATTACTCAGAAACTTTGGAATAGATGAATAGAATCAAAGGTATAAACAATATATGTTTATTTAACTTTGATTGGAACAAGTCCTTTGTAATTTGAGTTGATGAAAGTTTGTTTGGCTTGGTAGTTGATAGTTAGGAGTCAGACTTTGGTAATCAGGAGTGTTTTTACTTTGAAAACACGTTGCAGACAGTAAATGCTGTTTTCTCAACGCTCATGAAGGGTGAAAAAATGTCTTAAGCAGATGACCGCTTAGTTTCTTCATGTAACACACTTGGCTGGTTTCTCTGGCTGATTCCTCTTTATTGCTATCACTTTATATACATTTAAGAAAGGCTCCAGATTACTTGCTGCAAAACTTGATTTCAGCTAACATCAAAAGTCTATTTGTTATTGGCCAAAATTCTTTTATTTATTTTCCAGCATTTTTTTCTTTTTTTTTTATAGTAGAAGTTATGCATGGAGCGTCTTTTATTTTGATAGATTTCTAGTCACAATAACTAGACCTTGGACCAGCAAACTTCCATTTTGCAGAAGTTGTTCAGTTTTTTCCTTCTTCCCTTTTTATTTGAGGGTTGCTTCTCATTAGTTAAGAGAGAAGCATAGAGAGAGAAGGGTAGAAAGAGAAATAGAGAAATGGATTTTAAAAGAAAGTAAATGCCTTATTTTAATTTTAATTTTTTTAAATATTTTATTTTCATATTTGGGCTTACTCACCACAGATGTACAATAGGCACTGCAGCCAGAAATAATTTTTTTTTTTCATGTTACTGTAGATTAAGCATTCTAGATAACAAATATAAAAAAAAAAAATTATTAAATTTCATAAAAGTTAATAGAGAATCCAATTTGCTATGTAAAGTCATTGTAAATTGATCCCACTAAGAAGCCAAAACAAAATATGATCATAATGGGTGATTTCTTAAATTATAAAAAACAAAATATGAAAATTTGAAATTTGTAATCTGGAGTTCTTTTTTCATATAATACTATTGATTAATTACTCTGTGTTGAAAATTAAAGAAAAAATCTTTTTTTCATTTTAAAGAAATCAATACGAGCATATTTGTTTTGCCTTTCAAGAAGGAGTGGATGGCAATTTACAATGAATTTTATTTTAATTTTATATAGCAAACTGGAACCTCCTATTAACTTTTATAACATTTTATAATTTATTTGTAATGTGGAGTGCTTAATTTATATAGTAATATGAAAAAAAATTATTATTTCTGGTATTAAGGATTCAACTTCATTGTCGGAAGCCTTTTTCTTATGAGTTTTGTTTTTTATTTATTTATTTTTTTTATGGTAGTATAATTTTTAACCATGGTAAAATATTAAGTTAAATTTACTGATAACATTATAACATTAATTTTGTTACAAAATTCTTAATAATGGTATTTTAATTAATTTCAGTGGAAATAAGTTACGTATTTTGTTTATTTATAAAAGACAGTAAAATTAAATTCAACATACTTTTAAAAAACAGATTAAAAAAAATTATTCATAAAAGTAAATTTTATAATCAGCTTCAACATGTTCATTGTTATAAAGAAAAATATTAACTTTATGAGACAAAATTCTTAATAATGACATTTTTAGTGAATTTTGCTGTTTAAGATAATTCAACTATACCACAAAAATTGTTTTCTTACATTTTTGTGATATCATATTTTAAAGAACAGTTGTAAAAATATTACGTTTATTGAATTTCATTATGACATTAAGATTTTGTGATAAAATTCTTAAATAACATTTTTTATTAATTTAGCAGTGCTAAAAGTTACATTTTTGTCTTGTATTTATAAAGGACTATTAAAATTGAACATATTTTTTTTCAATTTTAAAAAAATAAAAAACATGTATTATTCATTTAAAAAAAGTTATATGCTAATTGTTATCAAGAACAATATCATCTAGAAAAAATAACTTTGTGATAAAATTTTTAATGACAACTTTTTGTCAATTTCACATTGAAAAAAAAAATTTTTTTTACAATAAAATTAAAAATGCTGCATGTTTAGAGAAAATAAAATAAATGAACCTTATACTAACTTCAACGTCTCAAATAATAAACTTAAGTTGATCCAAGGATAAAAAAGTAAAAATTTTTTAAAAAAAAAAAAAAAAAAAAGATAAAATTGCTTAAAGGTTAAGTCTGTAGAGGGCCGTGGCTGTGATGTTGTGGAGTCAGACGTAGAAGAAACACATGTGGGTTAAGATTCTCCTGCTCACAGGGGCCAACTACATAAAACGGTTGGACTTGAATTAAGTCCAAAGGAGAAGGCAAAGAAAACAAACAAAACACAAGACCGATAATATATGTATATACAAAACAAATATATATTAATAACAAGTTACAATACATGGAAACAGTACAAAGGACGAAGTGTGTGTGAATATTCTGTATGTGCGTGTGTGTGTGTATTGTACTTAGCGTGTTCCCACGCTATCCCTTGTTAGTGCCTACATTTCAAGGTTGTAAGCTGAAAGCCTGAGGAAAAAGAGAGATTTACCTCCAGGTGTCGACGCGAAGGCGTGAGGGGAAAAAAGGGAAAGAGGCGAA